GAAAGGTTCGCAAGGATATCTGCCAGACCTTGAATCGGTTCTCTGTCTGACACAACAAAACAAGACATAGGACTCCAAAAGCTTAATGTTGAAGACCAGAAAACACAAGGTTCAATTCTGTTCCCATTATAGCCGATACCCAAACTCCTTTTGACTTCAGAAAAAGCATGAATGGATCAATAGTTTGAACGGTGAGTGAGCTGAAAGCAAGCAAGCATGAAATACCCAACTCTTTAAAAGGGGATGATTCTAATTACTGTAACAATTAGAAAAACCAATATGGTTAAATCTTACTGAGCCAAATCTTGAGTGTCCATAAAACCAAACGAGTTTTTTCTATCAAACCCACTGATTGATTTGTCAGGTTCTCTGGATGTATATGCTGCAAGTGTTATGCTCGTCTGAAACCCTTTTAATGTGAATAATTTCATGCCCCTCATCTCCATAAGAATAAATGAGGTTTCATTAGGTATCCATTATGATATCTGTCTATGTAATACTCTTAGAAAAACTGCTAAGCCAATTAAGCTGTGATGGTGAAAATTAAAGACATTGGGGCATTAACATCAGACAGATGCTACTGAAATAACCACCACTAACCTGTAAGTTGCATTTGAGATTCCCATGATGCCTGCCTTTTGTCTCCAGCAAATCGTTGCTGTTGACACTGATTTCTGTATTCCAGGTGCTTTGACTGAAAAGGATTTTCCTTCCAGAAAAAAATGAACTGGGATGGGGAAGGGAAGCATGGCAGACCTGTGCGTCTGAGCTTTGGCATGCATTTGGACACAGCTCTAGAAAACCTACTTTAATGGCCTAGTGTGACTAGGTATGCCACAGGTAAATAAGCAGTGGCTTCTTTCTGGTTTGATATCCCTTGCCACTGGATGCTCTTGAAATGTTTGAAACAATGATGGTCAGGTTAGGTAAAAGGAAGTACCTTCCTAAAAGGAAGGTAAATTTGTAAGTCCTGTGCATTTCTAGAGGATAATGGCAAGAGAAAATGCACCTGGACATTAATACAGAGCCTGCAAAGTATACTCTGTTTAACTAAGTAGGAAGCCAACTTAACTGAGACACTGCCTTAGAGAACACCTTGGGTACATCTGATATCTTTTATTAAACCAACTCAAATAGTTGGAAAAATTCTTCTTAGCAAGCTTTCAGATATAAGTACCAGGCCTGTGTGAAGCTGTATTTGCTCTTCGGATTCAGCCGATTTGGGGGACAGCAATTCAATTCAGTGATCTGAATCACTGACCCAATTCGATTCAGCCAGATCTGATTCGGAGATTCAGCAAAATCTCCAAATCGGCCAGGCCCACCCTCCACCCCTCTCCCAGCCTGGCAATGACTGCCCCAGCTCCTGGCACTTGCTAAAAGAAAAAAAAAGCCCCAGCTCACTGGGTGCTGCCAGGTGGGGGGTGAGCCCTGCTGCCCCATGTTGAGTAGAGGGCTCTGCCATCAGCCCCCTGACTCCCCCCTTGCTCCCCCAGCCTCCCCATGGGTGGCGGGCAGGGGTCAGGGGGGCTGGTAGGGGTCTTCCCATGGTCCCCTCCCCTGCCCCTAGTACTTACCAGCTCTGAGGCAGCTGCTGCTCACTGCTGCAGCCACCGGGGACTGCCCAAATCATCAAAGCTCTC